TGTCATTCTATGCATATTTTGAATTAACCTGATGTTTGAATATTTGCAGAAATTAAGGATTTTAGGCGCAAAGACAGTCGTCAAAGTAAATCCAAATTTCAACAAATTGATTTTTTTTTTTAAACCAGTGCAGTTTCAATTTCTAAAAACCTTTAATTCAACTTGCACAAAATGGGTAAATTCCTTTGTCAACTTTTCGCGCTCCATAGTTATGATGGTTCTTATTACCCCAGACATCAGTCCACATAATTGGTCGGCTACGTCTCTGTGGAGGTAAACAAAATATTTTGAAATAACTTTTGAAACCAGTGTTCGAACTGAAGTTTAAGGGTTGCACCGCCGTCAGAAAAAAAACTGCAAGACTTTGTATTTTTTGTCTTCTATCCGCGCCATTGTGTTTTTGGGGTGCATCCAAAAAATATATATATATATATTCCCAAAATAAGAACGTTGAGGCCATCTGTCAATTAGTTTTGGTCTTGTACAGACCTTTGTATGGTGCAGTATTTTGTTTTCAATGAGACTTTCTACTTATACTATCAAAAGAAATCCGCAAGAATTCCCAAGAGACCTGATCAGAAACCGGGTGAATAGCATTTTTTCCAGATGTCATCGTGTTCATGGTTTTACTTTTACAAATGACCAAATCTAGGACAAAGGCGGAACAAGTCTAGATGACTCAGGACATTTTCTCTTGAATAGCTGCCAGAATGACAAAATAGGCTTTGTTTTTATCGTGTAATAATGTAATTGTTTTCAGGCGACATTCTACTATTAAATAACGTCTTTAAGACTTCAAGTCTGAGAGACTTTCCACGTCTTCCACACATTATCAGATACGGGGTCCAAGTTTCATATCCAGACATAATATCACACAATAATATTGAATTCAACAAAAACACCTGTTGTTGCATTGCATGCAAAGATTTGAGCGGTACAAATTGAATTAGGCATCATGTCATAATCACGTCAGCAGTTTTTATCAAATCTAGGGTCCTGATTAGAATGAAACCAGATACGAGAGTTCACAGTGTGACCCAAATACATGAGAGGAAAAATCCAGTATTTTTCTGGGGCAGAGAGTGTGAATACTATGTATATTGCAACAGGGGCGTAGCCGCGGTCATTTTTATTGGGGGTACACATTTTTTAAAAAGGTCACTTCAAAACTGTGTTAAATTGCCAAATTTTCAAGACTTACTCGAAATACACTGTAAAAAGTTAATACAAATTGCGGATGCTGTAGTATTGTCATAATTAAGGTTCAAATTACATTAAAAATGCACATATAAAGATGTAATGAATTGCAGAAAGTTCAGGCAACGTCACGATGAAGTCCGGTTCGCAGTGGACAGCCCCCCATGAAACCTTCTCGCCCCCCCCTGTCGCCCCCCCCCCCCCACTGAGATTTTGAGTTTCTAAAAAAATTGTCATTGATCTACATGATGCCCCCCCCCATGAAATGTTCCAGCCCCCCCCCCCCCCCCCCCCCCCCCACTGAAAAATTCCTGGCTACGCCACTGCATGCACTGTACGCATACTTTTAATGTAAGCAATATGTTGGCCTGAGTGATGTTTTGGCTGGTTGTGAAAATTTCATATTAGCGACTAAAAAAGGGCTCAGTTAACAATTATAAGTTGGAGTTTGGCAAAATCATTTCAGTTCAAGAAACAAAGTATCAACAATCTTGATAACTGTTGAAGCTCATTTGCATTGAAAAACAGGGTCTAGGGCAAGGAAAACAGGTTCTGGGGCAAGGATGGGTTAAATGTGAAGACAAAAGTAAGATGAACATAAGCTGACTGGGTCAGGGTGAAGTTGATTGTCTCGACAAAAAAAAGACACAAATGCTTAGGTCAGCAGAATAGTCCGATAGAGCCTTTCTACTGATAGCCTTTAAGCAAAAACAATGAATAGCTCGTCAGCAAAACGTGAAGCTATATGTATGCCGAGACCTCTAGTAGAATCGGAGGAAGAATTCAGTCTCAACCTCTCCCATTGTTCAAGATAAAGGCGTTAATATGTTTTTATTCACAAAGCTTTACATTCCATAAAAAACGCACTTGTCAATTGCTTTTGTAATATGAATTTTTTCTTTTAGTGATAATATGGCGGAAGGTTTTGTTCGTGAAGATTGGTAATCTAGACCCCATCAGTAGCCCAAGATCGGAGCCTGGTAGGGCTACGTGGCTAAACACAAAAATATATAAAGAATAAAGATCCATGAAGATTGTCGTACCATAGCAACAACATTGTTGATGCTGGGGCACGTTACACTAACCATACGGCGAAGAGCGAAACTAATTGGAACCTTGATATTTACAGATCCACGTACATTAGGATAGGGGACCTGTTTTTGTTTTCAACCACTACCACGTCAAAACGTCTTCGTGGAGACATTCTTTATAAAAGACTGCAAATGAGAAACAGCAGATGTTCCTTTATTCCGAGATGTACACTGTAAACATACTGGGCAAATTATCCGTTGGGCAAACTGTAACCAAACAATATGTACAGGGAATTTAGCCCAGTAGTTGAACGTGTTCACTATTCGCCCATCGTTGGTCGAATATTCAACCCATTTTGCCAATTTTTTAAAAATTTATTTATTTCTTATTTATCCTGGGTGATCCGTTCAGTGGGAAAAACTCACTGATCTCCCATGGATCCCAGCTCACACAAAACCACTATTAATATACAATTATAATATTCAGAGTACAATGTAAGAATGTTAAAAGAAAAATCATTCAAATAAACTTAAATAAAATAGGAATTACACAGATGATAAACAGACATTTACAATACAATACAAAACATCACTGCAAGATGACATCCCCCACACCTGTTTTTTTCCCTTTTTGTCCCCCACTTATTTTCTTTTTTTAACTGAGCTGTTTGAGATGATTGACGAAGTGATTAAGACTTGCTGGATGCGGAGATTTCAAATGTTGCGGCAAGTTATTCCAAGCCTGGGCACCCCTGAAGTTTTACAGTATATTGACCTTCATACAGCTGGGACTTTTCACAGATCACATCACAAACCAAAATAATTTTCCAACCAGGATTGTGATTCTAGGATGTGTATGTCAGATTGCAAACTTTTTTTCGTAAAGTTCAGACTGTCTTACACCCTCGGTAAATCATTTTATCCCAGAGCCTCGTAAGGTTGTTTGATCTTGAAATTGGCAGCTGGGTCAGATCACTGATATCTATGTTTAAAAATCAGGGTAGCTCATTGCCTGGTCAAATTGACGCCCCAGCCCGCCATCTTACCTATCTTATAATTAACAGTACAATTGTAAACACATCCATCCTATAGAACCGCAATCTGTACTCGCTTATTAACTGCATCGCCTTTTTTTTTAAATCATATAAATATATGTGTCACTTAAACATCTGTACATCAAATTCTACGAACATTGCTGTACGTGCCTCAGTTATTTTATATTTTAAATTTTAAATGTTAATTGGAGTGGACATCCTGCGTGGTAGCATCAAATGTGGGTACAGCGCGCAGCGGCCAATGTGCTATCCATTGTTTTGTTTTGTTTTTGTTTTTCGGTTGTTTTTTTTTTGTACACGGAGATCAGTGAGTCAGATTCACATTCATTCTCAATATTCTATTCTGGGTCTGGCATCAGACCTGAAGGTTACGATGATCTAAGGTCGGGTAGCCGGAAATACGTCGTGATTTCTTCAGAAGAAAAATGTGTTCCTTGGCATTTCTATAAACGCGCTGGACAGACAAACTGCAATATTTCTGGACGTTCATTTCAGAAAATGGTGGATGTGAAACCCCCCTTATAATGTGACATAATAAGTAGAAAACAGTTTACAGACAAAACCAAGGTACTATACACATCCTAACGATCTTGTACTTGTACATCACGTGGTCGGACGCACGTTGAATTTTACGGAATTGCCCTTCTGCCAAACTTCGAGCAAAACCACTCCCAATAACCAGAACTATTCATGGAAAAAAATGATAATTTGAAAAGTGTCATTTTACATACGTAAACAATATCAACAATGGTAGAATTAGGCACATTTATGTCGGGAAGTTGAGAACTAAAGTGAGAAATTAGTCTTCTGTTTTTCCAGTGATTGATAATGTTAAATCCTTTCCGGAGCCACAAGGGAATAATGACAACTCACATTTCCATGTTATATAATGTCCCAGCCCCGTGATGGTAGGCATGTCCGAGAACATTTATCACTAGATCCTAGTTTGGACCATGGTACTTCTACCAGAGGGGTGTCACTCGTCAGGCCTTAGTGGCTTGGTCAAAATAGAGGCGGGAATGCTACTGGGCTTGTGCACATTTACATAGGCTCGTATTCAATTGCCCCTTTTCATTATGGATTGCCATGGATCGCCTCTGCTGACAAAATGAAAGAGTCTTGATCTTCAAAGGGCAATTATGTGGTTTTAATGGCTATTTGGGGCCGGAAGGATACCATGAATGAATGGACTGCGGTTAGTTGGCGTTTGAGGGCAGGGAGGTTCAAATTGGCGGTAAGAAACAAAACCGAGCAAGGGTCAGATATGTGTAAATTTAAGGGGAGACTCCACGTAAGGTTAATTCCTCTTTCAATTAACACATTGTGACTGAAAGTGGACACCGACCTCAAGTTATCATTCAGATATCAACAGTTTAAAATTTCACAACAAGTAATTACCTACGAGTTTTCGATCGTCCAAATTGCATAATACAGCAGGCACTATTTCTTTCTTTTAACTTTAGGCCAAAACGTGCTGTAACATAACACCCGAGCCACGCATGCATATATGACAATACACAAAACAATGCTTTTGTTTTCTCGGGGAGTAGACACCAATAATTCGAGAAAAAAATGAAAAAAAATGAAAGCCGGACAAAACAAATTGAGAACGATGGCAGCTTTGCGTAAGGATTCCACAGTGTGCCGTTTACATGTATTTTGAAAACGGTGAATTGATTCGGACAAGCCAAAGATAAATAGACTGAAGTACCTTCACCTTTCAAGTATTTTGGTTAAATACAAGTAACACACAAGTATTTCAAAGAAATTTCAGCTCATTCAAACTTGTTTTTATCATCCTTGGACCACTTTTTATTTTAATGTCATAATTGTCTTACATGGTGCCGAAGTGATCAAGATAACGAATATATTTCAACAGTGTCTACAAGTGTGATATGGTCATCAGTTGGCCGCTGTCGATTTGCGTCTTCTGCTCGTCTGGTACCAGGCTGGCGTTGTTTCTGAGTCGACCGATCAGATTCTCTAAGGCCTTGTTGTCGAGTTCGACACCGATGTCGGCCGAACTTTCTCGCAGTTTGCTGGTGGGCGCATCTACTCCCAGGATGTTCTGCGGAAGCTGCAGATACGCCCTCTGCTGACCATTTGAATCCTATCGCGAAGAAATAACAAACGGATGAAAATTGCTGGTACAAACTCCCTAAATTATGTTTACACTAAATCGTGCAACAGTCGGATGCTCAATTCGTTTTAATATTAATACCCACGATCACCAAGATAACTAGAAGTTTTACACACTTTCGTTTGGTTCACAAAAGCAATCCCTATGAATTGCTCGTGTGTTGTCATTTCTCAAGTATTGGGTTACATTAAAGACGTTTTTCGTTCAACATAGATGGATTTTGTTTTGGGATGGTAGGTCATGATAAAGATGCGCCTCTCACCTTGTCCAAAAGAATGCTGTCCTCGTTCAGATGGATTCCCGAGATGCCGTTGTCGTGTAGCCAGGACAAGGCCGCCGTGACGTCATCCACGACACAGGTCACGTCGTGCTCAGTCAGGCTCCAGTTTCGCGAACCAGCGTCTTGGTTTGAGGCACAGATGTTGCCATGTGGGGAACCCCCGGGAGGCGAGCAGAGATGGGAGGGCTCCTTGCGAACCACGGGTAGGATCCGGTGCTGCTCAAGCTGCGACAGCACGATCTTCAGCATCGGCTGCAGCTCTGGATGAAATCAAACCAAAGAGCAGTAAAACCTACAAGTATTTAAAGCTACAGTCCATCATTTGCAGCTACCAAAAAATAACTGACGTAATTATTGTTCAAAACATACTTGGTTGGAAGATAGCAAAGGGACTAGACTTCCAGTGAATTATTCTATCTTGCAAGCTGTCATTTTGGAGAAATCAACGTAAGAGGGTCTTTCCAACGGTGTGTCTGTAGACGGACAGTTGGAAATTTCCGTTAGTAGTTCGGTTTTTTTTATTCGGCGAAGCGCGCGCAAGCATTGACACGACGCACACACGAATGTTGTTCATCTCGAAATATACAGCTGAAGCTGAACTGAAACTTCATCAGGTTAGTTGTTCAGCACCTTTCTTTAGATTTTGAGCACTTTTGTTGCCTCAAACGAACAAAATGCACAAATTACAAATGATGGACTATACCTTTAAGTCATTACATGTGTATACCTTAGGGGTCAACTTTCTCTTTGTCCTTGTTTTTTTTTTTTTTTACCATATATGAGTTTATAATTTTCATGTACATCAAGTTGAACCTGTGACTATCAAAATGTTGAACTGCAAGTCAATTTCAGATTTAGCTGCGTATAATTTATAACATCTCTCGTGCTGTAAATACGATATCGCCGTGTCAGGTGTGAATTAGGGGTGAAAAGAGCAACCATCCTTTTGTAATAGCAATACCCCTGAATAGTTCGTCTATTAAAACTTAAAGAATGCGACTGACTTTGGGTGATGTGTAATGGCTTATGATGAATTGGTCTTGCATCAATTGTGGTTTGTGCTTACCGAAATCAGCGGACTGGCTGTCATTAAAGCCATCAATTCCAAGCGCTGAGCTCCGCGTTCTGTTCATTGGGGACGGCGAGTAGCCTTGATTAAGCATCAAGGAATTTTTGGCCCGACTTTTCTTCTTTTTCCGCTGGCCCCAGTAGTTTGACAGCGTGTAAAGGTAAGGGTTGATTGAGGAGTTCAGCGGCAGAATAAAGATGGCAATCCAGGCGTAGACAGCCTGGGGTATGGCCACCTGCCCAAAGCTCGCCAGAATGGCTAGGATGATGATCGGCATCCAGCAGATGAAGTCCGTCCCCACTATCAGGGCCATCTTGGCGGCCACTCGGACCTCGGCCGAGTTCTGTGCCGAACTGCCCGGGACTGCTGCGAAGAGCGTTTCACGGCTACAAAGATGGCGGCGTAGCAGATTAACATGATCGAGAAACAGATCAGATTGACGACCAGGAGGAAGAACATGTACTCCCAACCTCTTGGGAGGTCGGGTACCAGCGGTAAGGCCAAGCACACACTAGAACTCCCGTAGTAACTGTGAGTGAAGTAAGCCTGCATTAAATAAAATTGGTTGTGTTACATTAATATGAAACATCGGAAAAGGTCGGGATAAAGGATAAAGCTAAGCACACCCAGCAACCGTTATATAATTTTGTCAAGTGAATAATCCTTTGGCAAACTATGTTAAGGTAATGTATCGTAGATGCATTGGGTTCTAACTTTATAAAGAATTACTGGAGTTACCGCTGTGGAAACCAGTAAATAGAACTTGAAATAAACGCGACATAAGCCACTTTATAGGAACGGCACACCGTCAGTTTGTCGCCGGTCGTTTACTTCTGAAAATGGGCATAATAATAATAATAATAAAACAATGGGTTACCGTGACTAGAGCAGGTAAGAGACACATCAGGAGCCCCACTACCCACGATGCTAGCACCATCCACTGCGCACGTCTAGATGTCAGATGAAGACCAAACCGGAAGGGAAAGACAATCTTGAAGAAGCGGTCGAGACTGAGTAGCATGATGACAAAGACCGAGACCTCACTGGACAAGATGCTCAGGACACCAGCGATCTTGCAGGCCAAGCCGGCCCGCCAGCCCTCAGCATGAAATGCGTAGTTGTTCCGGAAGTGTAGGTCCGCCCCCGCGATGATGATCATGTACACGCCCATCAAGAAGTCCGACACAGCCAGGTTGGTGATCAGGAAAGTCTGGACCGGGGTGGCGTCCCGCCTGGCACCGCCCACCCGACACCTGTTCACCATCCGCATTCCGAAGACCAGCGCGTTGCCAGCCAGGGCGCTCAGCCCCAGCAGCCACATAAAAAACCGCAGAGCACTATTGCTGATCAGGTCGTGGCAGTCAGAAAACTGATCGGTTGGCGCTATACATTCCACGCTTTCTTTGACGCAGCAGTACAGGTATTTGCTGGCAATTCTGTTGACATGCAAAACTCTTCAGTACATGTACTTGAACATTTCCAAATAAGTTGGCGTTATTGCCTTTGCATTTCCTAAAATACGTATGTTTAAATGTTAAATTTACTGTTGTCGAAAGCCGTCATATTTGTTTTCAACACGTCAATATGTCAATAACGTTATTATTACTCCTTAATACTATGAACGGGCGATACATTTCGGTAATCGCGTCTGCCTTACGGCAACACGCCTTTTGAGGGCAACACATTGATGTCACACTTTTGTTAAAACGACACTTAGGAGAAGGAATTTAAGTGTCGCAAACCAGCTAGATCGATTCGTCGAGGTCCAAAACATACATACACCGAAATTTGTGGAGGCAGGATGAGGTCAACTTGGGTTAGGTGACATTTTAGGTTTGTGCACTGGTCTATGGAAAAGTCGCCCTATTACTGCATTAGATACAAACTGAGACTGGCATTTCAACCAAAGACAGCAAAACGAATAAACGAATGAACACGGTTGGGAAGTTATGGATGCGAAAGGGATGGAATAGGGATGGAGAAGGCATCGTTGAGGAAAAAGTTGGGGGATGATAAAAGGAGTATGAGGAGGAGGAAAGGGAACAGAAAGGGGAAAGAGGAGTAAGTGAAGGTGGAGCGGTTCAGTGGAGGGATACGACTGGGCATTAAGGGTAGACATATTTGTTTTGTTTTACAGCACATAAAATATCCTTTAATTTATGTTCATGAAAAAAAACCCAAGAATTATATTTGCTCGAAAATACATTTAATTCTCAGTTTTAGTCACAATGCAATACTCAAATATATTTTTTGGAGGGTTTCCAAATTAAAAAGAAAATAAAAATATGCTTTATTTCCCCCGACAAAAATTGTCTGAAACTTCTTTTCTTTTTTTACTTTTTGTGGATTTGATTGGATTTGTTTTGTTTCCGCCATATTCTTTGAGCCCCAATCCTTCCGTTTGAACTAAATTCCTTTATTGATTACCAACACTCTTTACGATACTTCACCTTCAGACTATGTTCTTTGTTCTACCAACAATGGTCAATTCCTTACATTGTTTTGAGGCTTTCCAAATCTTCGAAGCCATCACTGGATTTGATGGGACTGGTGTCTCGAATTTCTCTGCAAGAGGCAACAAAACAGAACATTACAAGTGCCGCAATACATTAGTGCTATGACGACTTTTGAGGCAAGTTTGTAATTACAGTAAATATACAATAGGGATACATTCCCACAGACTTGTTTACAAAAAAAAAATCCTGTGCATAACAATTAACTAGGCCTAGCAGTAACCTAACTTTTCGTAGCCCTACCAACATTTTGCAATTTGGGATTATGCGTTACGAAGAATCGATTAAGCCTAACAGCAAGATTACCTTTTTTAGCAAAGAAATAAGACTTGGAACATTGGGGAGACATGGAAATGTCTCCTTAACTAACTCCCTGTAGCGTCTTTTACTTAAAACTGGACCAAGTGCATACAAATCAACTACTGTGCTTCCAATACAAAAATGTGCATGACATCCAAGGAAATCACTTTTGACTTGCTGGTTGACATTCATGGACTTCGTCACAATAGCGGTCCAGGAAGCTATAGGCAAAATCAATCGGATACCCCTAGCACTGCTTCAGGCCGTTAGGCCCAAGTCATGCTCCATCAATATTTAGTCACCCTAGGCCTCCTGGACCAAGTCCCCCAAAATCCGCCAAAATGGGAAGAAGGATTTCGATTGGAATCGGGGTGGTTAGGGTTAATCCACCTTGTCTCCCTAATTAGGTAGGTAGGTAGGTACATGAATTAATTAGGTTTACAGGAATTTCACAAGGCTGATTTAATATCTATACTTTATTTCGTGGAATTTCGTCAGCTAACTCAATAAAAAAACATATTCAAACGACAACAATCACAATGTAAGTGTCCAGCGACACCAACGGCATACGCTGGTGAGATTGAATTCTAAAAACAACTTACAAAACTTTTAAATTGAAAAGCCCGGCAAATGCTCCAACCTCAATGTTACTCAAGCTGTTGCCTGATAGCGACCTGCAGAAAAATACAATTTCATTCTTAAATCTGAATGTCTCTTAACCCTGGGAGCAGCTTAGCAACAAAAATCACACGGAGTGGCCACGTGGAGAATTTTATCACCACATTGTTTCTAGGTCAATAACCCCCGCGTGCCTGTACATGCATAAGATAGGTCATTCACACCGTCAGGGATTGTTTACAACCTGTCTGAGCTCTGGGCGGCAGGAGGGGTTGACACAAAGAGATCAGCGGCACAGAGGGTTTGGCCGCCATTTTCTCCAATCACTGCACAAAGGCATCAGCCGCCATCTTTGCTTCTGTCTTTCAACACTCCTTACTCCGGAGTGGCTAGGGTCTAGCCAATGGGAGTCTACAGGCTTGTGTTGTATAGTAGGGGTGAGGATTACATGGAAGCTTGGCCTAATTGGCCCATTGAAAAAAAATATGCCCATATTTGGAAAATGTGAAGCTGTATTTCTCATGCTCCGTCTGGAGTTGCATTTCATATTTCAGTCCATAACAATCGTGCACATTCAGACCTTACTACTTACAGATTTTCCAATGAAGATAATCCCTCAAAGGTGCCACTGCGTAAGACATCAATATTGTTCAACGAAAGGTCACTGTGAAAAAAATAGAAGAAGGAGACACATTTTTTAAAGTGGTTGCCTTCTGAAAAAAACCCAAAGTTTCTGTGATGCAGGTTTTGTGAGTTATGCATGGTTCTCTGGTACGTCATTATGCATACACAAAGCAATTTGTATCCTTGTGCAGACATTTCTTTGTTCTCGTGTACTACAGTTTTCGAGTTTGAAAGTGTACTTTCAAAATACTTCTATTATAACTAGACTTAATTTCCTGGGGTGAAATTTTGACTTAATATCCCTTACATAAAATACTTCACCTATACAAATTGCCCTGTGGAGACGTATACAATTTCTTTGTTCCCTATTGTACACATGTCTCCAGAGTCAAGGTACCGTGTCACAGATCAACTGTATGTTGATAAAATTGCTACTTTTGATGGATAGGAAAAGTAAAGAACACTCGTACGGAAAGGACAGCTTTATCAAGTTGCTACTCATATCCAGGTAAAACAAAAGTACGTATTCGGGTTTTTTTTTTTCTTATATAAACCATCAGACATTAAAGAATGTACAGGAATCACCAATGTTGGTAAAGGGCACACGTGACTTGACAAATTATAATACGATTATTTGACAACGTGCACTGTACTACCGTCCATGTGAGTATTATCAGCATGTATGGGCAATTCAGTAATGTACCTAAACCCCAGCAATAATGATAATGATGCGTATTTATAAAATGCACATATCCATCCGTATAGAGCTCAAGGCGCTACATCATAATGCCATGCTCATCGGACCAATGAAACATTCAAAATACCATCTCAGCTCTACGAGGATTATTCAGCTCCACGTCGTCATGTCGGCGCAAAGCAGCTAAAATCAACCACAATAACCATCTCTGCCCTCACAGGTACCCATTTACTCCTGGGTAGAGAGAAGCAATGACCGACAAGGTGCCTTGCCCAAGGGCACACGCACCATAGCCGCAGGCTGGACTCAAACCTAAATGTAGAATAACCCGCAGACCCCGAATCTAATGCGCCATATGCCACGAGGCCACGGCACTCTGATTTAATTGTATTACAATTGTTTAGTTCTGTAGCGGGAACTATTCAGCTCTTGTCCTCCGAATCCGGCTAAACGCAAGAAAAGGGGATCACCACACAGGATTTCCAACTTCTGAAGAAACTCTTATTAATTCAGCCACAACAAATCAAAAGAAGCCCACTTAAACAACATATTTATAGAGACTATTTCCGGAGTGCGCGCCAGCCAGACCCAAAAACCAGGTCGGATGCGCGCCGCCGGAGCCCCTCTGCCAGAGCCCTAGCGCAAGAAAGCAATGACAACAAAAGTGCTGCATAAGTCGTCCGTTACAGTACTTACAGGGTGCGTATGCTGTGGCTGTTGTTGAACATGCCTGGACTCAGTTCCGTTATACCGTTATCCTTGAGCTCCCTGTAACCGATATAAATTCGACGAATGAGAACATGTTTCAAATAGGAACAGGAGTATTTGAAGCTGAAAAGGACATTTGAAAATGCATTATTTCGAAACAAACGAGAAATACTTCCAAATAAATGGCAATAATTCAACACAAGAGCGATTTCTTTTAGTAAAGGACTATTTTAAATGAAATCGTCGAAGAGCTGACATACCAGCGAATCGACCATTTTGGCGATTTTGAGATTTTTTTTTATTTTGGGGTTTATAAAGATTGCTCTTTCAAGTATTTATGCCAATATTCTTCATTCTTGTCTTGATTTTGAGATTCGGTCCTGCCTGTGGTGAATCAGTCACAACAAACAAATCCATACTTTGACAAAGTGACGAATACGGAATTTCGCTGGTAACCAGCTCATGTAAGGTGTCCGACAAGTACCAACGAATGCCATTCGCCAGTTTGTGGGATAATAACATACAAACAGTGTGAAGAACAACCTGCCATTAGAGATTTTGTTACTTGAAAAACTGACGAATACGTTTACGATTAAATAAAAAAATATCGCACAACTTCTCTGATTAAATAAGTAACATAATGGATACTGCGTTTCCTATTCCTATTCCACTCTTGATCGACGCTTCCATGGATCGGGTTGACATGGCTTGGTACCCGCCCTTCCAATTTCACATACGGAGATAAAAGTCTACCAACTACACTTAAAACGATGTTACTTTTCGATTATTACGAATTCCGGAACAACAGAGGGCGATGTTTGCTTCAGAATCAAAAGCTTTGGAGCAAGTTCGAGCGGGGACCATGATTTAACATAGTTCGATTTACTTCTCTTGTACTCGACTAACTTCATGCAGAAAGGTTGGACTATGTAGACAACTATTTGTAACCAAATCAGAGGGAATGGTTGGATGGCTGGTTCAGTACTAGCCCAGTGCATTATGAAGCACAAGGGGTGGAGGACCAATGAATTGAGTGACAACAATAAGTAATGAGTATTAGTGAGCTTGCAAAAGTTACGTCACGAATCAATCACTAGTCAGCTCATGGCAGCACTTACAGGTCCACCAAGAGGGGATAATGGCTGAAGTTCAGAAACAGTTTATCCATCACCGTGCCAGACGCAGGAATCTGGTCCCTCTTTCGTCTTGTCGATCCATTGTCCAGATTTGATGCTGCACCGATCGAAGCCACTGAGTTCAAAAACCTGGTCCGAAAATAAAATGGACATAACGACAGTGCAGATGTGATTAAAATAAATCACGACAGAGTAACCATTATAAGGACAATGCAAAGACGCCATTTTCTCAATTGAAATACCAGAGAAATCACGGTTTTCATATGAAGATTCGAAAACTGTAATTTTTGCTCTCTCGCAATTTGTGATTCTACGACAAAAAAAAACACCCTTGATTCAAGTCTGTTCAAGCCGTACTGAAAGTGCGTCGTTTTGGCGCCCTCTTGCGTTGAAGTCCAATAGCGCCTTAACATTGCCAGCCGGTGTGATACTCTGAAAACTGTTGCAAATTATGTGAAAACACATCTGAGGACGGAATGCAAATCAATAGTCTCGAGGCATCGAAGAATGGTTGGTGAACTTGGCAACTTGCTTTATTGAACTTAAAATGTCATGAACTTTTTTATTTTAGAAAGACTCACAGTTGACGAACTTTAGCTGAAATCGTGCTGGCTGCTCCGGGTCCCCATTCCGTGCTTTCACACACATATGATAAACCAACACACTCGCAGCTGGCAGGACAGCTAACATCTGGGAATGAAATAAAATGAAACATGAATAATAGCATAAAATAATAAAAAGCGAAATAACATTATGATGCCTATAGGAAGGCATACCTACACGAAAGCATTAACTTCCTTTTTTTTTGGAACCACCAAACTCCCCTCAAAAGTTGAACGTGCAAATTGATACCTTCTGTTGAGCAGTGTTTTTTTTTTGGGGGGGGGGGGTATCAGTAGAAACAAAAGTACAACATGACATTTTTGGCGGATACATAATGTTCTCTTTACACATTTTTGCTGGATCTGTTTCTTCGAGCAGAAACATGAAATCGGTCCCTGATTTTTTAATGATCATCATGGTAAGCAAAAATATGCACTTAGTAGTTTGGTTCAACTTACTACAGAACAGCTCATCATCACCACCTCGTTCACCCTCATGCCCAGGACAGTCAGATTTCCCATCGCACAGCTGATCAAGACTTACACACTGTGCGTGGTTACGACACCGATAGGCCCCTGGACAAATATATTCGTCTGTCAAAAAAACAAAAACAAATGTAAGATGTCTCCCTAATGCCAAATTCCTATCAATTATAATGACGCAAAGTTTGAATTTCCACTTTGTCCGGCTGGGCACTGAGTGTGGAAATTCCTATACTACCCGGCAAAGTAGGAATGCATCCAAAACGTATATATTGACAATCGTAGGAATTTTTCAAAGTAGTTTGATGATTGTCAGGCGAATATTTACACAGAAACATACTTTCCCCTGCCAAACGGTCGAAGTGCCCATTGTTAACATTCCTTCATGGCCCTGCTACCGACCATGGTCAAAGTGAAAATTTGCACCAAATTTAGATGCATTCGTTTTAAATAAGGGGTGTTGAAATTACCTATTGGTAACATTCCTAAAATTGCGCCACTACTGAACCTGGAAATAGTGGGAATTTTGCGAAATTTTGATTAAATTTTCAATAAAAATGGGAGTTAAATTTGCATAGAGACAATTATTCCTACATTGCGCTGCTACTGAACCTAGTCAAAGTGGACATTGTCGTCAATTTTCATGTAATTGATATAGTATAGGGTATTAAAATTACCATTTCTTCATTGTGCTACTACTAAACCTGGGAAAAATGGGAACTTTGTTAATCTGATGCGCTTTGCCGCGCAGTGTTGGAATTCCAACTTTGCCCTGTGCAAATTCCGAATTTACCCAGATTCCCACATTGCGCGTGACAGGCTAGATCGATTGCTTATGGTCTAATAAGTAAACAAACAAAAAACCGAGAAAAAAACCCCGAAAATCGTGGGGTAGGAATAAGAGACATTGGGGTCGGGGGTCAGGAAAGTCGGATTATTATTTGTGCACAAGTTGATGAGAATTTCTCCTTAATGTTATTAGATTACACTTTTTAGACGTTTTAACGCGGATTAAGCATTGACGTACTTCATTGCACCAGTGAACCTGAAAATAACTCGCGCACAGCAAAACTACAAATAAATTCATTTTAGACACAATAATAGTACACGTCTACACCGTCACGTACATAATTGTGTAGGTGTTTTGCATGGAACAATGCGATTTTTTTTTTTTTTTTTAACAGTAAACCCTCGTCAGTACTCGTTCTCACCACATTGTTTCTCATCCTCCTTATTCGGGCAGTCGAACGCATTGTCGCATCGCAGTCTGATTGGAATGCAGTAGGAATCCGGGCACTTGAACATCATCTCAGGACATTGAAACGATTCTGAACAAAAGAAACAAAACGTAAAGGCAAATCACCATTAATTGCCTATTGGTTACGGATTATAATTTGTTACACAATGAAAGCTTATATGAGCAGGTTTAACTTGTAAACGTTTACAGTTGATACCGGTTACAATTCTCTTTTGTAACAATAGCACGTTCTGACATAGCATCTTTTGTTTTTAATCGGCAGAAACTCATTTTACAAAAATGGTTGCACATGGACAGAGCTTACATTCATAATAGTTCCGTTTGTTTGTATTTGTCAACGATTTTCAAGGAAATTTAATTCGATCTAGAAAACACACCTACTCAAATTTGTATTATTGGGGGACATCGCTTTGTTCGTGTACAAAATGGTAAGAGGGTCGAAAGCTATTTTCAAAACGCTCTTATTTTAAACAGAATACATTTCCTGGGTTGAAATTCCGACCGAATATCCCTATCAGTGATAAACCATTTTAATTTGCGACCGATTAGTACACCTATAGTTTTTTAGTAAAATCCATATATCTATTTGGAGAATCCTTGTGGAGACCTATGCAGCTTTAGAAACCGCCTTGTGGAGATCTTTGCAATGTTGTTCTGTTTTATGCATAGGTCTCCACAAGGTATCCTCTTTGCAAACACTTACCGCAGTCCCTAAGGTGTGTGACGTCGCGACAGCCTTGGATGTAGCCATGTCGGTCAAAATCATAGATGCAGGTGTGATTCTGGTCGACGCAGATGCCGCTTCGACACGGAATAACATTTTCGGACTCGCACGAAGCCACATATTTGTCCTCTAGGATACACCATCAAAACAATAAAATGCAAATACAGGTAAAGGCATTATTGCCTTCCAGTGGACTTGTTACCCATTGCATGCAACATTATTCATACTGTGAACATATAAGTTTAGTTTCAGTGTTTCAGTTTGAGGGGCTGGTTTTACCACAATGTTCTTAGTAAGCCACACCTCGAGAGACATTTGGCTTTGTGATGGGCAATTTGCATAAGAAATGGTAAATGAAAGGCAGTGGATATTTTGCCGGAGACGGTAAACCTTTAGTAAACGTTAGCTTGCCGGATATGCACTGAACATGCGCAGTTACTGGTTTTTTTTGTACTTTCCGGTGACAAATTTTAGTCTGGCTCCATGCCAACATTATCGTTGTAACTTCGTATTCACAAGATGGGAATCAGACCATTTTACAATTTCGGACTTTATTTCCCTTTAAAAAAAAATCCTCCAGAGCCTCAAATTTGAAAAAGAAAATGTACTACTCTGCAATAAAATGTTTGAGACATGTTAAAATAATAAAAGAAGAATATTCTCATTTTTTTGGGAATGGGGGAAAAAAACCTTAGAAATGTCGCCAGCAGGGATCAGGATCAAACCAGGGTCATCCCGCTCACGAGAGCCGTTGTTTATCCACAATACCAAGTGTGCTACTCAACTGGTAATTTAATAATCTTATAATTCAGCCCTATCTTAGAGAGTACAGCGCCCTCTGTTGATATGGATTGCCGCCGGCAAACCTTTAGTAAGCGTTAGCTTGCTGGCATTACCTCCGGCAATATATCCACTATCTAAATGAAAACGGTACCATACAAATTAACATGTGGTGAAGGTACTACATAACATACTTAAGCAAGTCTAGTTGCACCCCAGATCAGTGCAAGCCACGAGTGACATTTAGTAAGATAGGCAACCGGTCTAACTCAAGTAACAGTCAGTATCCAGTTCGTTAGTGTGACGTGACTTCAGTTTAAATCACGTCCACGGCACATTAAGTAGCATTGGAACCTTTGGCAGCGGCAGTTAACACAACTTCAGTGTTTATCCAATGGGCGATTGAAATCAGTGATGCGCACGCATATACTTATGGAAAAGTTTAACGAACCGGATTAAAGTCAGTCAACCAGGCAGTCAATCAATCTGTCCGGTAGCAATATGACTATTAAACAAAATTAAACAAAACACGACCTAAATTATGCTGATCGCCTACCCACAGAAAAATCCTGACACTAGTCTTGTTCACTGCGACAGTTTATCTCGCACGATGCTTAGGCAATGGATGGGGGCCTTCGTTTTTGCGCGCCAGAATGGGATTATAAGATGGACTATTTGTGCCTAAATTAATATACATGTACTTAAACAATTTTTGTTTTGTATAAAGTAAGAAACAACGTTAATGCTTATCCTCTGCTTGGTGCATAATATGCAGATGTTCGTGAGTTGATACGTGCAAGGGGTAGTGTATAACAAAAGGGGCTTCTTTAAAAAAAATAACTTACGACAAGGTATCTCATCTTCGTAGTGGAGACCACCGCAATCTGGGAAACTATCGCACTGATGCTCCATCGGTATCCATCGGGAGCTGTAACACTGAAATCCGCCAGTGATTAGCTCTAACCGTAAAATGAACAAAAACAAAATTCAATATTTTGCCCAAGGTCAATTCAGAACAATACAAAAACAAACAAAAAAACAGATAGCTGTGGTGGCCTTGAGTGGACATATAATGTCCATCCACAGCATTGTAGAAAGCTTAGTGTATACTGTGTTCCGGCGTCTGTTCATCTTGATGGATAAGTATGTAATTGGCCAATAGCGACCTAGCGCACTTGGTGTTAAAGCTCAGATCAAGGAAAAACGATGCGAGATCAAAATAATTAATATGTATTGACGCATACATGTGAACTTTATCAAATTAGAGTACAAGGAAGAATTATCACCGAGCGCAGCAACCAATAAAATATCGGGAAAATCTTATAGGCTGGTGCCCGTCCTCATTCATACGGACATGTTTCGAGCCCCTGAGGTACTCACCGCAACCATTGCCCTCGATGGACGTGTCTTCAGAGCAGGGATTAATCAAATCACATCGCTTGCTTAAATCGATGCACTGGCCGTTTTGACACTGGAACTGAGTCGTGTCACATTCGGCTCGAACTGCAACCGAAAACAATAAACCTTTTTATGTCAGCCCGAGAAAGGCAGTAACAAGAATAGTTCTTATTGCTTCAGAACAAGTCATTTGATTCCTAAAATACAAACAAACCAACAAATGTTACGCAAGACTTAAGAAAAATACCTATGGGGGGATTGTTTACAACCGTGCCTTAAAATATATATCCTTGTTGCAGCCATCCAAATGGCGCTCAATGTTTAGGCATCTCTAAATGTAAAAGCGTGAAAAAAATCACATGAAGCTGTTCCTCATATGGCTCTAAAAAACTGTAGAAGTTAAACACATTTTATGAGTGTTTGTTTTTTCAATAAAGGCCATAGTGTAAAACTATTCTCTAAATTCCAAATAGTGAAAATTCACTCAATTCGAGTGAAGATTCACTCCCACAGTCGGAAACTAGGGACTAGACGTTTTAGAGTGAAACTTCTTCAATCGTAAAGATAAGGTTTTCACTCGAGCTTCGTCTGGAGTGGTTCATTTTTCACACTATTTCAATCGAATGTGAGACTGATTTTCACTCTAAAACGTCTTGTCCCTAATTTCACTCTTTGGAATTTAGAGAGTACTCCAAAAGAGCAAACTTCACTCTAAAAAATAAATTAAAAAAAATCAAAAAGAGTTGTCCCTCATGAGCCTCTGAAAAAAATCCAATGGTTTACACTATCCTTGTACTCACGGCAGTTGCGCTCATCCGACCCGTGGTCACAATCCTGAATAAAATCACAGACGAGTGAGGCTGAAACCTCTCGTGGTTCACACTGAAACTTGAACCGTGCGTAGTCCAATCCTAAAAAAACACAACGTCAATGCAAAGACAAATTAGTTTCAATCTTTGCCCAACCCTTCATTGCATGATGCCATACTTCCTACCTATCCATGACATTAAACAAGTTCGTCAATAAATTACAATTTAACTTTCAGTTTCACTACAAAACCTGCCCGAGTGAGATGTACATCTTATGAATTTATTTAGACCGGAATATTAGGCTAAACAGAAGGCCTAAATTACAACTGTTTAAATTCATTATACAAATAGTTCACCCTTAGTTGCCGTCAAAACTTGCAGAATGTTTAAGAGTTTCTGTAATTCCAGATAGATAAAAAGCAAAGGTGATCCAATAATTGATAAGTTCCAAAGTTGCGCATGTGAAATATGAAAGAGTGAATATGTACGTCTTAAAATTGTACTGCAGAGCATCAGCAGTGCGAAACTACTTTAAAAAGACACTTTTATCAACAACTATACGTTCTTTCCTTGAACGTTATTTGTAGAAGTTTTTAAACACTTGTAAAAGGCAGCTGTTTCCTTGAGCAAACGAACGCGGTGTACCACTTCCATTTACTTGTTATAGCTGATGTGATAAACTTTTGTTAGCCTGACAATCTTCAATTAAACCTGAATATACATGTACTTCTAACATGGTTTCGCTAGAGCTCCCTCATTCATTCAAGAAATGTCAGTCTGGTTGCTGTCTCACCTGTTGAGCAGACAGCGCCCTCATCGCTGCCATCTGAGCAATCTGCAGCCGAGTCGCAAAGAAAGATTCTCTGAATACATTCCCCCGTCGAACACTGAAACAAGTGCTGCGGACACTGGCGTGGATGGTCTGCGCGGAAACAAATTATAACGTACGTACGACTCAGGACACCAGACCCGGATATCAGGAACTCAACTATAGCACTTGCTCTGTCTGTCACTCGCAAGCTTATTATTGGTATCACTGATTACACATCGTGGCTATTATCTGCTTGTCGACCGCCGAATAAAACAACGACATCACAATATAAGATGGTTGCGTCCTAAATACTTGGCTATTGCTGGAAATGACAAACACGCCGCAGCCACTTCTGTGGTTGAGTGTGCAATAAGCAGTCTGTGCTGATGACGTCACACTTTGTTTACATGTGCACTTTCATATGGAGCCAGTGGGGGGCCCACGGTCCATTAAGCACCATAGGAAAGCACACACGTAAACAAAGCGTGAAGTCATCAGTACAGAGGCTTATTTCCTGCCGTAACCAAGTAATTTGGACCCACCTGTCTCTTAAATACATATTTTACAAACTTTGGCTTCCTCCCCGGCTTCGACTACAGGTGATTATTTTAGAATCCAGAGTTTGGGGAACCGTGGTCCTAATATAGTTCTACGTTCCATTAAAACAAAAACACATCGCATTTTATGGGATCAGGCCGAACCGTGGTGTGTATCCATTTTATTTGTTGCTTGCAAGTTTTGTAAATGATTCCATATCCAATTTGCCCAATCTGAAATGAAGCCGAGATTTGATTCGTCTAGTTTCAAAACAACAAAGTCTGGCTTCAAACTTACCTTGTCCAACAAAATCGCCTATGGATGCAGGTTGGGTAAAATCTGAAAACAAGAACAAATTAACAAAATGCAATTGTGAAAGGACAAGAGGTGTGCCTGTAATTTTTTTTTATGCACTGCGTGAAGGCCTTTTATTTTTTTTGCTCGAGTAATTTACATACCACTGTTGAAATTGGTTTAGTGGTTTTAAGGCAACATAGCATTAAAAAGTTGTTTGGTTTTACCTGCCGCTTGCCTGTCGACAGCACTTCACACATGCTCCATATTTACCAAATATTCAATGACTTCAATGCAACAGAAGCAGCACTTGACCAAACAATTACGACAAAATCACACAAGGCAACCGGTACTCTACTTCCATGCAAGCTGAAAGAAACCCTAGGAAGAATGTTTGACCTGGATGGTGCTGAGGAGGGATGTACAGTCTGATCCATCAAGAGTAAATCACAGGCCCACCAAAAAGGCCAATACAGTGCATGAATTATACGAAACTGAGGATTTTATCAAAGGTTCATCCGAAGGCCTTGGGACTGGAGGACTTGTGAATAGATGGACTCGACCATTCCTACTACAGACTCTTATAAACCACGCGTTATTAATCAACTCGAAATTGGTTGTCTTAAATTACATGCATAACATTGCTGTCTGTGACTTGGCTTATAGACAAGCAAAAAAGGACATGAAACTACACCTTCAGCCTCTTTCTTGCACAGGTACTGGTAGGCTTCCCGAGCCGCGCACGCAACATCGACCCAGTTGGCAGACGTGCTGAAATCTTCTAGTTTGATCATTGTGCAACTCTCCAAGGCCCCTCCGTTGGGCGAATTGTACTCAAACCGCTCACTCTCTTCTTCTTCTTCCTCCTCCTCCCTACCGGATCAAAAAAATAACAGCCATTAATGTTATACCTGTGTCTTGAATACTGTTCTTTGTCATTGGCCTAAAACGATCGCGTGTGACTATACCTCATTAATATTCATCAGGTAACCGCGGCATTTCATTGGTCAGCAATGCAAACGTGTGAAAGTGTTTATTACTATACCTCATACATATTTATGACCGAGAGCCGAACTCTCACTGGTCAATTCACCATCACTTGCCAGATGTTATTCTTGCTGTTTACCAAACGCGCGCGCGAGGATTTTCGCACAGGGTAAATACGCATGCGTAGTAGACTGTCAGTCTACTACGCATGCGCTTTACAAAGCAATCGAAAAACTGTCTCAAGGGTGAGGTACGCACGCGCGAACATCGCCCACGAGCTCAATGATGCTGGGCTGGGAGAAAATGTATGGACAATAATAAAGATGCCTCATTGTACAAAAGAAAGTTGTACACCAACAAAATGTATTTACAAAGTAGTTACTGTATTGCAAACGAACCGAACCAGTGACGTCGAGCAACAATATTATTTTGGTGAGCTGTACAAGTTTCTCCGAAAATTCTGTTTGAGGTGCACATGTTTTATATAAACAAAATCCGTAACCGAATATGTATGAGGTATAGTAAAACAAAAATAATATGGTTTATTTCGAGTGGACAGTCGATATTAGCTCTCCTCCGTATTGGAAGTTGACAAACTAGTTCCCGAGGCGAAGTTTGTCAACTTCCAAAACCTCGGGGAGCGAATATCGATTGTCCACCCTCAAACCATGATATATTTGTATACTATCACCCGCGTCTTCGTACGCGCGCGTGACGCGCAAAAACCAATGAGGTACTATCAGGCACCTGGGTCACAGCTTTAGATTTGTTCCAGTACTGTGTTATCTCTTTACCAACGACGCATGTGCTTTACATGCGTACCGTGGAGAACGAACACCAGGGAGGACAGTTGCACGTGCCAGTCCATTACGGCATACATCAAAATGGTGATCGGTACGTGGTGCTCGCTCTGCAAGTTTTAACTGAGGAGGAACTGGGTGAAATTTTACACAATAATAATAAATACAGTGTTTTGTGTGAATGTTAAAGCATGGTGGAATGGAAGAATGAAATACCGCAGCTGCCTGATGAATATTTATGAGGTATAGTAAAAGAAATACAACATGTTTTTGAGGGAAATAGTGAAAACTAATGACCCCACGGTGTTGGATGATAGGGACTTGGGGGTTTCGCTTTGGGAGATTGTCCCAATCATCCAGCACCTTGAGGTCATTAGTTTTCACTATTTCCCGACAAACCATGTTGTATCTGTATAATGGCACACTCCCTGAGATATCCCACAGGCAGAGTGCTATGACTTTGTGGGTACGGTGTAAAACGGTTGTATCGCAGGTACCCGTGCTATTTGCATCACGTTTTCACACATGAGTGGGAGCAGCGAACCAGCAGACGATCAGCTGTCTCGAGTTGACGTTTGATCAAAATCCAAAGAATCCAAGACAGAGGAACAACAAAATAATTGTTGACTGCTGTGATGTGGGATAAGACGTTTTGAACACCCAAGGGGCGCATAGCACCCGAGGCGAAGCGAAGCCGAGGGTACTATGCGCCATCGGTAAAAGCCTACTATTACTTAGTCCGAGGAACTGGCAGTCAACGATTGTGAAATGTTACACATTACGGAACACATACCTCTAGAGGTATCAACAATATAATTGTTGACTGCTGTGATGTGGGATAAGACGTTTTGAACACCCAAGAGGCGCATAGCACCCGAGGCGAAGCGAAGCCGAGGGTACTATGCGCCATCGGTAAAAGCCTACTATTACTTAGTCCGAGGAACTGGCAGTCAACGATTGTGAAATGTTACACATTACGGAACACATACCACTAGAGGTATCAAGTGCGTCATAAGTCCTGTCACAATAATATTACAAATCCAATCACAATGTCCAGCCACAAGTAACAATGGCTTAACAATTACAAAGGAATATCTTTGGCGAAGTTGTTTTGAAAGCCTTGTGATTTGAAAATGAACGGGATGACTTGTGATTGATTTACAGGAACTTGCACTGTTTTGTAATGAACGCAACCAAATTCTTCCGAGGTGAGCAGAAGGTTGAACACACAGGTTTTGTGTAATCAGACAAAGTTCATGAACAACGAAAAGTACATGTATGTATCGTGAAAGGTTAAACACAAACTGACTAGGTCCATTTGTCAACAATGTGAGAGTTGTGAGGATGGGAACGCAATGGGATGAGAACCAGCGACCTATGTAGCGATTACCTTATAAACTATAAACACTTCCATATTTCAACACTACGTGGTGGAGTAAGAAGTCGGCATTCGCTGATCTGGGGCTCGACGGGTTACTTGTTTAAAGCCCAAGTATGTTTTGTTTCTTCTTCTCAGGGGACACGGTATCGAATGCCCGGTCAAATAGTTATTTAAAAGCACGAGTCAGGTTGGCGTAGTGATTCTTTCCTCTGCTTTCACGTTTGCGACCCATTTTCGATTCTTGGCCCGGCCCACATGTGGATTGGGTTTTCATTCCCTACCTGATCGCATTGTCATTCCCCACAATATTCCTCTGGGGTTTCCTCCCACCTCTAAAACTATAATTACTTCTCATTGTCTCCTCTCTACCCGTTTCTTCAGGTTTGCGAGCTACAAGCCCAGATCGCTTCTGAGGAATACTTGGTTTCATTTAAACACTTGGTTTCATTAGAACAATTAGGTAACAACAATAATTGTATTGAACCTACTGTTATTGGCCAAATTAATCATGACAAAACTTACGTAAATGTCAAAGCCCAATCCGTGTAACTCATGGGACTCTTGTCCGACCAAGTGAATACACCTTGAAGATTTCTGTTAGTCAATCCTGCAAAACAATACCGACAATGTTAATGTAAACATCAAGCCTCGCGCCCTTAATGCTCCATATTAATATTTATTTTTGCCTGAAAAAACCCACAAAACAAATACATCAAGCTGTGGAATTAGTAAGCAATTTGTGCAATGAGGAGTTTTTTTATATCCCCTCCGTTCACAAGTACCCCCTCATCGACAAAGAAAGTACAGTTGGTGGTGACCAAACACATGTTTTTATATGTCTATGCGGGTGACCGACCGACGCCATCTTGCCTGACTGAATTTTGCCGCGACGCGCAGCCGTACCACTGCGTACAAATCCCCTGGTGTACGTGCGCGTCAACCAGCTAAATGTCGTTGCTAGGTAAAAGGGCGCCCTCTTTCTTTGGCGCACGGAGCCCATAGACACGTTTTAACAAAGAGACAACAGAGTGTAATGAATAATTTTACATCATCTTTCAAAATTTAAGTCAAAGGAACTAAATCACAGAAAAAATAGTCAAACTCGGTGATCAAACAAAATGATAATGTCATCTATATTTGTATATCTACATGCACATTAATACAAAAAAAATCGAGACTCATTGCAAAAATGGAGTTTCAATTTTTCGTCCTAAATGCAAATCTGGGTATTAAACGCAACCTACGATTCACATGAGTAATTCAAAGGATCGTACTAGACAGTTTCTGGGCAAACGAAACCCGCAACTCACATGAATAATTCAAAAGATGTTACTACACAGTTTACCCGGTCAAAATTATGACTAACAATGTGAAATCGCTAAATAAAAAAGGGGAAATCCAAAAACAAAATGCATACTACTCACCTATGTAAGTGTTTGTCCTCGTGGTAAACCACTCAGTTGTGAGCATGTGGTGCACATATTCTGCTTCATCCCGGTCCCTCATACTCACAAGCGTGGCGTCTTCTCTTCCACATCTCGTATTTGCGTCGTCCCAGCGAATCTACGTTTTAAACACAGTAAACAAACGTATGTGACAGTTCGTTGTGGTTGTTGCATCATCCAATTCAGCAATGACATTTGTCGCCATTTTTGTCAATACAATTTATCGACACCTTTTTTTTTCAATCAGCGTTAATATCAACATAGCCGTCATTATCGTTAACGTCAGAATTATGGTGGCTGCCGTTATTATTACCACTTTTGTCACAACTGTCACGGTCTTTAATATCGTCACCCTCATCGCTATCATTTTGTCAAAGTCATTAGTGTCTAAATTATGAACACTGCAATCATCTTTAGTAATGCTGCCATTGTTCTCATCGACGTTGTCATTATCGTTCAGTGAAGCACTGTAAAAAATTGACTGCACCCCATGCACCGTATGCAAATGTACTAGCAAATTTTTGTCCCCAAACCATGAACACTTGAGGCTCTTGACAGGAATCTGAGGCAGTTGAGGTTATATTTGCAACAGCACAGAAGTGAAGTTCAAGTGCATGAGGTGTTAGGAAATTGCCTTTATGTATCACATGGTGTACTTGAAGCACATGGGGTGACAGTCGGCTTAACCTCAGGTAAGTGTTTTACCCAACGTTGACACTTCACGTGCATCAACTTGTTCGATTCACGTGTCTGACATGGAGTCACATTTTTACAGCGCTGTCCCTAACAATCAACTTTTACATCGTCGTTTCTCATTATCGTCATCTGTGTCACTTCTAAACTGGTGGCGTGACTGTCACTAAAATGTCATTCAAATGTCAGCTTCGTGCACCACGACACCTAAACACAAAGAGTGATCTCTATGCTACTTTGTGTATGTTGATGTGTTTACCAATGTCTCTGAATCACTTAGCCGGTAGCAGTGCTGGTTGAAGTAGAACCACCCAGTTTCACAGTGATCGCTCGTCACCACAACCTCGCGTCTGGACTGAAAATGTAATCCCTCATACTTTGCCAGGAAAATGTTGTCCGAGGTATCATATGCTGCATGGAGCTCCAACCTGACTCGGTTTTGTTTACTCCGGAGAGCCCCAGTGGGTAGGTTAACATTGCAGAGACGCTCAACGATGGTGTCCGGGTCCAACTCATCTATGACTTCCAGTAATGTAATATATCCGTTAGTGCAAGTGCTTTGTTGGACGCTGGGGATGTTAATATGCTCGAAGACAATCTCCACGAAGGTCCCCGGAGGTGTTTGGATCTGCCATGTTGCTGTTGTAGACGCCGATAAGCTGCCCGGGTAAGCCTTAGTCGCGATGTAAGCGCTCTGGTAGTTGCAAGAGATATCGGTATCGCAAGGTCCGGCAAAGTCGGAGCAAAGGAATGCCGTGTGTCCAACGTTGCACCCCGGCGCATCTGTGCATAACAGAAAAAAAATGTAAACAAGACTAGTCAAACGGCGCAAATGTGCAATATATGTACGCAGCCCGCAGGGACACAGGCTAACCAAACTTGTCCTTTACGTGGAGAGATCTCACATTACACAGTACCGCAGCACCAAGCTTGTGTGCTGGTCTTACGAGCGCACTCAATGTTCATTTCAACCAACAGGATTTTCATGTACATCGTAACAAATTTAGGGTTTGTGGCGTGGTGGTACCAATGGTGGTCAGCAAAGTAAAACGTACGTCTGGCAATTTTCTATCTTCAAACAAATCGGCATGCGAGAGCCTCGCGCTAAGCTTAATTATGATGTGATGTACATGAACAGTTAGCGTCTTCAATGGGAAGACTTTTACGCGCTAAACAACGACTCTAGAGTCCATAAATAAAGACAAATCGATACATCAGTTTCGCCTGCCTGAAAGCAAACCCCTCTCGCTCCTAACACCAACGACGCGGAATGGGAAGGGGGTGGGGGTGGTATGGGGCTAATGCAGTCCTCTACCAACCTTTGAACAAGCTACGGGGGGTCACAATGCCTGTGTTTCTGTTAAAACGTCGAAGGATAGGCACTTAACTCTTTAAATAATTACACAAGTACGCCTGTAGTAAAAACGACTGTTTTAAATCAATCATTTAGTGCACATCCCTTGACCCCAACGGTTTCGTGTAACATTAATAAGACAAAAACCAACCAAACAAACAAACAAACAGGTAGTGTGTCCTCTTCTTGAGGTCTGGCACAGTTTGGAATAAGTTAATAAAACAAATCAAATGTTTGGTTGATAATTGGATACTAGAATCTTTGGTATAATCATCACATCCTTACATTGTAGGTCCCAGGCATGCTTTACCCGGGATCTGGGATCAGGTTTTCCTTTTTTCCAGGTCAAAATATATATTTTTTTTTTCGGAGTCAAAGTGACCCTGTAAACGAGTCAAAAAGGTATCATTTTGAGCCGGATAATGGTCAGGCCCTATAGACCTGGCATATTTGGATTGAATGTGGTGCAGGACCTTTTAGAGTGAAGTGCTATATCTCACCGACTGAATCGTAGTCCATCCAAAACCCGGAATCCCCCTGCACCCCAGTCGTGATAAGAAACACGGTGACTTCGTTTGTGTCAGCAATGAAAAAGGGCAGTGTGCCTCCTCGGATATCGACATCGTTCGCTCGGTAATCGCCCTCTGGAACATTTCCATAAATTACACTAAGTCTTCGGGGGAAAGAAAATAACAAAAAAGAGCAACATGTCAGACCAAAGAAATGCATACATTTTATAATGTTTGTTAAAAAAAAGAGTTCATACTAAACTTCTTCTTTCATTTCCCCTAATAATCTACAGGTCTACTCTAAATCAAGTACGCGTCTGATGTTAGGGTCAAACGAACAAACAAACAAACACATAAGTAAATATGACAATTTTTGGCGGGTGGGGGTGTCAGATTAACGGACATGTATCTTAATAAAAAGTAATCGGATGTATAGTCGAAAGTTGATAAAAAAAAAACAGGTGGCACCTGTTTCAGTGTTTCTTGGAAAACGTGAGGCACCTGATCAGAATTTCCAGAACAAAAAAAATGCTGTTGACATTAGGGTATTCCTCGTGGTTATCTAGATCTCTAGAAAATGAGAACCACCCCAAATTTATATATATATATAATACTCCTCATATAACATGGATGTGTTATTCGCATTAGGACAGGTAAGCCTGTGTTCTCGAAATAGGTCAAAATCCGAATTTTCGTCTAGAGCTGAGATTCACCAAGAATGACCCACAGCTCAGAAAAATAAAATAAAATAAGTACCTGGAATTATTTGAGAGGTCATATTCTCGGAGGCGAAGCCTGACAAATTTGCCTTTCTCCAAACTGATCAGCCACCTGCACCTCGCGTACATATCGAGGAGTTTGTTGAGGATGCCGAACGAACCAGTTGCGTTCGTTAGAATCGACGGGGACGATCCACAATTTGAGCGGCAGTTTGAAGCACATTCTAGCAGAAAGACAAAACAACTCAGTAAATCGGTTAATCACTTCGTGTGTCTGTGGCAGGGCTAATTGTAACATCATTTAACCATTCAAAACAATTTCAAAAGGACTCTGCTTTTTACCAAGGTTTAAAACGACTTGCACCGACAAAAGAAACACCACAGTACTCAAATTACACTTATATTGATAAAGACTAAAATAAAGAGTGTGGCATAGTGTTTAGGGTTTGTGAGTCTCAATCATGGGGTTAAGGTTTCGAATCCATCTTCTGTTCTTCGTATTAGGACAAGTAATAGGGAATTCATTGTGAATCTCAACTAGAGACGAAATGCTCAGATGTTTGAGCTATTGGGGAGTATGCTTACAAAATATATTTTGTCCATGGGCAAGCGACTTCATCCTTACTTGCCTCTTTCCACCCAGTTGTATGGCATAAGCTGGGGAGTAACCTGCGATGGACCAGCATCCCAGTCAGTGGGAGTAACAATATTTTCGGACGTTATATGTTACTGCAACCCGAGATAAACGCTGGTCTGGAGGGTAACATTTGCTCAAGGCAGACTTTACTTCTTTTGTATTTTTTTTTATAAACGATGCTACCTTGCTTTCATAATTAAAGACTACATACAATGCTTAGTGGCCACTTTTATTTTAATAATAGGGCAAACATCCAGTATTCGTTCCTTTCAAATCAAACAACTGTAACTCACCGACGACAGTGAAAAGGGTCTCTATCCCAATGACCGACGGGTCACCGTGCCACGGATGGAATGATGACACATTGAAGACCGCCTGGACTTCCGAGCCTGAACCAATCACACTCACGCCTCTCTTCTGTGCCCCACGGAAGAACGCCCTCCGGACAGATGCGTTACTGTCTGGAAGGATCTCAAAGATGGCGAAAGAGTTCTCTTCGAACTCTTCAGACTGGGGTATTGCCAAGTATGAAATATCGAATCTGCATCCCACCAAGAAACACATAACAAGGAAGAAGAAACAAAAGTCGTAAATTACTCCCCAAAAACTGCATGATTCACAGCACAGAATCACAGTAGCTTAAGACGGAAATCAAAGTAACCCGCAGGGCATAATACGTCAAAGAAGACTGATCTTTGTTGCAACGACACAAAATGTGTAATAAATGAAGCATTACAGACGATACGTAAAAAAAACGAATAATTTGAAACGGAAAATGAAAAAAATGGGTACTTCAGTACCCATGGACTCATCGACCCACTTGGGAATTAAATTTGTAACGATGAGAGAGGAAGTTTGTGTTTAACGAAATGAAACAGAATTGACATTTAAAGGTCATTAACTACCAAGATGTTGCCAGATCAATTTGAACGGAGGGGGGGGGGGGTAGCAGATTTGTAAATATAGTGTGTTTTCTCCATACTTTATCTCAAATCAAAAACGTTGGGGAGACGAGGTTGTGGGAAAACAACTAACTATTAGGGCTCTGCCCAATTCCGACGATAGTCTTCAAAAAATGAATGTTTGTGAGTGCAATGGTAAGAATAATTTCATGAGGTGACAGATGAAATATATTTCATCTGTAATCGAATGAAATTATTCTTTCCATTGCACGAACGTGAAACATTCATTATTTGTTTTATATAACACCTAAATAAATCCTCATCTGATTGGTTGACTTCTAATAGCCAAATTTATTTAAGTTAAAAACTGTTTAAAAGTTCGAGAAGTTCAGAGCTATCATATTTAATTTATGCAAACTGTTCAACAGGTTGAGAAATACCATATTCAACTGTTCTCGATTAAAAACTGTTCCAAAAGTGTAGAACTCAATCAGGTCAACAAGTCCAGAACTTTTATTACCAATTTATGCAAAGCAAGTTAAAAGCTGTTTCACAAGTTTAGAACTCAAACAGTTCGACAAGTGCAGAACTGTTATTACCAATATATGCAAAGCAAGTTAAAAGCTGTTCCATCAGTTCAGAACTCAAACAGTGCAACAAGTTCAGAACTTGTATATCCAATTTATGCAAGTTAAAAGTTGTTCCACAGCGCCACCACCGGCAGCAGTCAAACCGTGCAATGGGAGTTCTATTCATCGTGCAATAGAACTTCCGGGGGGGGGGGGGCTGTCACAGCCCACATCATCCGCTCCACAAACATCAGTGACCGAGTATGTTGTTTATAATAAATGGTTAGTAAACAGTTTGGATCCACGGACAATGGACTTAAAACTTTGTAAGGACAATGTACCGAGTCCTAGGGATTCCAGGGTGCCAGGCTCAACGGTAGGCCCTACTTCTTACTTTGCCGATCTAATAGGAGTATGTGTCCATTTGTGGCCACCTTACTGAATTCTGATTTTGTCTTACCTCACTGTATAATTCTCTGGCAAGCTGAATCGTAGCTCGGTCCTGATGTGGTCAGACTCTAAATGCGGAGGGTAGTGCCAACTGCGAAAATACCCTAAAGGGGTCTCGGCTGTGATAAAGCTGCTCCCATCGTCTAAATCTTCAAGTGATGCAAACTCTGAACACAATAATACCGCAAGAATAGTGAGTGTCATACAACGTAGTGAGGTAAAGCTAATTGACCCATTGCCGTTCGCAAGTTAGCCACGCCCCTTAGAAACCATGTGGTGTTTTTGTTTTTGTATACACTTAGTTTTGTTTGTGTAAGATTTTGCCTGTTCCGCGTACATTTGTATATCATGTAATTGATATTACAAGCTACGACACAATTTACAAGCTACGTTGACGCGATTCTAACGCGATTCTACTGCGATAGGTCAACTGTGCTCGTTTAAAAACATTTCCAATTTCTAATGTAAAACACACATCAGAATTTGAAAAAAAATTTTTTAGGAGAAACATCACAAGTACAGCTAAAAATAGGTAGAATGCCTCGATAAAGTTGAGCAAAGTGTGATAAGACGCCAATCTGGTTTGAGACATGCTATAGCTGTATGTTATTGCGGCATGAGAAATGCATAATTCAAAGGGGAGTCAGGTTGGCGCAGCGGTACTTTCCTCGCCTTCAACCGCTGTTTGACCCATGTTCGATTCCTACCTGGGCCAATATATAGACTGTTTTTTCAGTCCCTGCCTGATTCCTTATTTTCCCCAGAATATTTTCTTTGTGGTTTTCAATCCTCGTCTAAATGTTATTTCTTCACATTGTCTTCTCTTTACTGGGCCCCATGGAAGACAAGTGGATTCCACTGAATGGGCCACCGCTGTTAAAATACGAAATAAATAAACAAATTAAACAAATAAAAGTTAGTCAAGAATTAGATTTTATCACTTGAACGCGTTTATATATATATAAGAAAAAGTTGCGATAATTATATATCATAATTAGGAAGTTCCATCGCAAAACTTTGACTGATTGATTTTTTCCACCTTCACATTAATAATCTTCCTACCCATGATACAGACGTAGGGAAGAGACAAGTTACAACTCCCAACCCATTCTTGTACTTCAAACGGTCTCACGGACAGGTCTATGGCGGTGCAGTCCGTCTCGAAAGAAGAATTCTGATACATCTGTGGAGAATCCTCGCGGAAGGACGGATTGGTTTCACTCAGTGGGAATGCGTTGCCCATCGAGACCCACGTCAGATTCCAAGCTCCGTCAAAGTCCGCCTGCGTGGGAACACAAACTTTGTGTGATCAAAAAATCAATCACTTAAGCCAGTCACGTGTTGTCGCCACAGGTATACCTGTGCATAACAGACCACTCTACAAATGTTTGCACAGTAGGATAAGTTGAACATCTGCACCCACATAATTACCAACAAATACTCATATCATACTCTCAGTTGTATATCAAAGTAAATTAACAGCATTACGTTTTAGGAAAAAAAAACATACGTATGATTGGCACAATGCGTTTAGATTTCATTTCGTGGGATCCTGGCGAGTCGGAAGAGAACTATGAGTATCAACACTTGATTTTCTTCATTGTATTGAAAGGGAAGAAGAGACTAGTTTCAATAAGTATGCACTCTCATGGGCTTCAAGTACACTCTTACAAGTCAGATTTGAATCCGGGATCTATTTGGCCTGACGGTTTTTTTTTTTTTTTTGGGGGGGGGGGGTTAATAATGACACTTTTTTTTCGTGTCCAAATGAACCTGAGAATGAGTCAAAGAAGTGTATATTGACCGGGAAAAGTGTCTGTCCTAAAGAGAACCTGGATTCGAGTCCAACCTTACGGGAGTGTCTCGATTGAAGGACCTTTGACCTACCCAGAATGCATCATCCATAGAAGGTAGGCGGCTACCCGCCCCCAGCGACAGACATGCCGAGTTGGCATCGTGCCAAGTTGCGTTTTTGGCGCCCTCTGTGTAACACCACTTTCCTCTTTGATTCCATGTTGAACCACTGTCGGTGTAGTTACTGCATACGGCTGAAACGGAACAAGAACAAAAAAAAACATGGAAGGGGTTTGCTTAGCCAATGTGTAAAGTCTTACAGAAATTAGGATGTCAAAAATGAAAAAAAAAACCAAAAAAAAATCTGTCATGAAGACTTTGAAGTAGGCGAAACAAGTACATGTATAAATGCATGCCCTAAACAGACCAGGCTTCGAGACCATCTTTCTACAGTAGCTCGTGATCAGCACAATCCGGTCTATATCCTATCAAGTGCCATGTATATTTCTGGGTGTTAGAAGCTGTTGTAGTAACTCGTCTTGCCGAATAACACAAGCGCCATGTGCCCTGTCAGGGTTACGACACAAAAAAAACGTCAAACGCAGCAACCACATGCGTCAAACGCCGCAAACTGCTTCAGCTGAAACTATATTCCCAGTGCGTCGCCGTGCGACCACTCTGAGAAGCAGCGCATACATCTCCAGAAACGGTGCGGTTGTGTACACACACTGCAAAAACTGTAGTGTTAATTTAACACCATTTGGTATCTATATAGGACAACACCAGTACAATTTAACCCCAGATGGTCCTATATAGATACCAATGGTGTAACTTTAACACTGCAGTTTTTGCAGTGCAGTCAGATGGACACCTGTCTTGCGCACCCGTATAATACGCGTATTACTACGCGCGCATTATAAGCAAGCAGTGTCCGTAAAGCTCACACTGTAGCCGTTTGCTGCAGAGTATTCACGCGTTCCACGTTATTAATGACTGACATTGCAACCATGCTGGATTGATGACAGCCAAGATTAGTTAGGTATGATAATACATTTGCTGTCGCAGGTTATAAATGGAATTCCAATTGCATCACCCTTTTACCTGCAGACCTAATGAACACTTACGAATACAATCTTTTCGCGTCTCGGAGTCCAGAACATAGCCCGTCGGGCACTGACACTGGTATCCACCGGGATAGTTGAGACATTCATGCGAACATCCATGGTTCCCCGCACACTCATCCAAATCTTCGCAAAGAAAATTATGACACTATAGTAAACACCGTGCACAGAGCAGAACAAGGATACAAATATAGGCCTAAAGTACATAGAACGACAACTTTTGGTAAAAGTGTGCCTTTGTAATTATCTGATCAAGCATTACTTTGCAAAGAAGCAAAGCTGGAATAAAATTTTAAGTGTACGCTGAATTAAACATCATATAAAAGAAAGTCAAAACTCATTAGAGGGGGTCATAATTATGAATCTGATCGTCTTATGATATCTTCAGGTACATGCATGTAGACCTTTGGGGAGTGTTCTTAGCTGTATTTTGATACCCAGTTTGCTTCCAAAGACTGTAAATCATCCAAGATTGACAACAGTTTATGAAAAATGATGCAGTTAAAAAAAAGTTGCACATTTAAAGAGGACGCGAGTGGAAATTGCTGCGTGACATAATGTCGCACTGCCCGAAGCGAACGGCAGGGAATATCAATCGTACAATACTTAGTGTGCATGGGAGCATGCGAAATTGAATTACCCGCGCTTTGTTCGGGCGCTGTGCGGGCGATGTGCAGTCAATAGGGGCCAATTACGGGCATATGTGTTTACGCTTAGCAATTTCCCATCGCGTAATCTTTAAATTTGCAACTTTTCAAACTGAACTATTGTTCATTAACCGTTGTCAATCTAAAACGATTTACAGTTTTTGGTAGCAAACGGAGTATCAAAACTTCCCAAAGGTCGATATAAATAACGTCATCATAAGTCGATCAGATTCAAAATTATGACCCCTCCGATGAGTGTGGACTGTTTTCTTAGAACTGTAATCAATGACTTAGCAACGTATTACAACCGAATTAGACCACAATTTGGACTAGCCTTTTCCCGAGCCATACAGGATGCTTTTCATGGTCAAAATGACTCGCAATTTTTTTTAGTGTATGAGTTACATGCTTTTTAAACCTTCATCAAGTGCACACCAGACACCTACGATGATTGACGGGCCAGCAGAGTTAGGCCAACAGAATTAGCAGCATCGCTGACACCACCACGGGCCGTTCGCGTTCTGCTATTACCGCGCAAGAGGAAGCCACGTAACGAATCGAGCAATACATGACCAATTGATCAGGATCGAACTTGCTCTTACCGTATTGGCAAACGGTGCCCCTGGAATTGAAAAAGAGGCCGTCGCATGTTGTCACCTCCCAATGAAAATCATGAGCTGTATTGACCTTCACGCACAACACTTCGCTTGAATTGGATGTGTATGGTTTCTGGATACTCGGATCAAAATTGTTGTAAGTTATAACGGAACCGTCTAGCCACGTGTACGACGGCTCATCCGAACTCGCCACTGTGCGCAAACCAATCAGGTAGCTTTGCAACTCGGAGTTTTGCAGGACGTTCATCACAACTTGCTGCATTGGGGCTGAATGGATTACAACTTGGGTGGCGTGGTGTGCAAAGACCGCATCACATGTCCATGCTTCGTCCCTGTTTGCTACGCCCAGACAAAAGCCCTTGTAACGTGTTGTATTCTCGCTGCAGAAATCACCGTGATCTATAATAAACAGGGGAAAACAAACAAACAATTGCACTGGGAATGAAACTGCAAGTTAAGTACTGTGTGTAACGGAAACAACAAACAAACTCCTTATCTATTGACCTTAAACGACGGGAAGACAAAACAATACAGATTTATTAGTCTGTAATGGGAAGAGGCAGACGGCAAATTAAAGGGAAAATACAACATTTGCAAACATACAACAACGAAATGATCAAATTATCACGAAATACCTTACTGAATTGTTAGGGACTGACAGTCTAAAGCATCATTTAAAATCGTGGCTCCTGGTGGGCTGACATTTTCAAGAAAAAAAGTATTTTTCCAACGCTGGTCGGCCGACCGGCGTTGGAAAAAACTGGCTTTTTTCAAAACTGTTTTTAATTTGTCATATTTAGTTATTCTGACTTTTCTTTGCAATTGATCACATACCTGTGAAGGGGTACAAACCTGTTAGACTTATTCGCTGACCTTACAATTCCCCAAAGTGTATTAATTGCTTCGTTTCATCTTAAGTGGGGTAAGGGAACCAGACTACAAGAACGTAATAGGTTTTCTTGGTTTTTCCAGCATCCACAAGCCCAAAACATGAAACAAGTCAGTTAACAATATTTTATATAACATACTAATCCTCCAAATCCATTTATTTCTGAAAATTGCAGCAAAAGCAAATGTTGTACATTCCCTTTAATTGTGCTGTTATGAGCAGACACGTGAATGCAAAACATTGTCGCATGTCGATTTTTAAAATGCTAAGTGAGAAATAGCCTCTTTGTGGAAAACCTCTGGGTAGCGCTCTAACAACCTAGTGCAGGAAGCAACTAATTGTTTTTGCGTCTCGGTGAAGTCATTGACCGTACCATACATGCGTAAAAATACCATGTTAACAAACAAGTATATGTCACCTGATTCGTAACAAGTTCCTATAGTTATATTCCACGGCAGTTAGTGCTGTTTCGCTGCAGTGTGCTGCGCCAATAATTTGTGGTTTGAAATGCTGAAGGTTCCGGTTTGAATCACCGAGGGAATTTTACATTTTCGTTTTTCCCCGAAAAGGGAATTTTCTTCCCTTATTTTATCAAGTCCTGATCAACGACAAAATACAATTTGCCCTTTTGGCTTCTCATTCATGGCTCGGATTTTTTTAAAGGTATGTTTAAAATCCCAGAACCATTCTGTACCAAATTAAGCGTGCGCATTATGGTCATAATACTATTTTATCGAGGTTGACAATAAACCTTGAGAATGAGGTTGATGTTATTACCTGCTAACTCGCATCCAATGACCTCTGCCCGAAGTCCTGGGTACAACGAGCTCCAAGAAACTGGCTTGATCCGGATCTTCCTTGCGATGAACGATCGGTACAGTGTGTGATGGGAGATGGTGTATGGCGAGTGCGCACCCCTGAACGTCTGGCATGTAAGCAAATGGACAATCGTTTAAAAAAAAGTTACTGTCTTCTGAAATGCACATGTCGTTGTATTTGTATACGTCATTCGCCTATAGGAAACTCTGTGACACGACTCAAGTCCGATTTACAAAAATGACAACTATACTACGCCAAATCACTATCCCTTGAATAAACAGCACTTCTCTCTAAATTCCAAAGAGTGAAATCAGGGACTAGACGTTTTAGAGTGCAAATCACTCTCACTTCCGATTGAAATAGTCTGAAATATGAACCACTTCAGTCGAAGCTCGAGTGCAAACTCGATCTTTACGATTGAAGAAATTTCACTCTAAAACGTGTAGTCCCTAGTTTCCCACTGTGGGAGTGAATCTTCACTCGAATGGAGTGAATTTTCACTCTTTGGAGTTTAGAGAGTACGTTACACTATGCTCTCGTATCCATGAAAATCACGTGCCCACCAGCTTGAACGCACCTATATTGAAGAAAAGTGTAGGCCCCCTATGCCTTTAATTTTAAATGTAAAGTGGTAACCAATGACAGGTTCGGTTGTAGATCATTATATGGGCGCTTTGTTGACTTCGATTTTGTAGGAAACGCTAGTTCATGCACAACCCCAGTTACAACAACACTTGGCTACCCGATGAACCACATGGCTACCGCCAAACGCACTGCACGCAGTTGGGTCTTGTTATTTTTGATTGTCTTTGTTATGCTTGATTGTCTTTGTTCCGTGTTGTTTGTCTTGTAAAAAAAAATACGTTTCTACATAAGCATTTTGGTCTTTTGAATGTGCCTCCATATCAGCATCTCCTTATTTTCAAGGTCTTTCTTGTATATTCAACAGCTGAGTGTATCTTTTTATACTTATCATTAATCATTATACTATAGTGTATTTGCTGAATATGAAATATATATTTATTTGAATTGAATTGAAATGAATTGAAATCTGTAAGACAGAACACAGAGGACGCTCAAATGTCATTTAGGACAATTGGGACTGCTGCTATTATTATCCTGATGGCGTATTCTTTTGAACTTACCATTGTCACTCCCTCGTTGTCCACATAAGGTCTCCATGTCTCCGTGGTTAGACCGTCAGCTCCAGCCCTGTCCGCAGCGTACAGTAAAAGGTAGGTGTCCACCCATAAGGAGTACTGGTGCTGCCGCCCAGCCTGCACTGTGAACCCGGTGACCGTGTGCAAGGTCAACAGGTCAATCTGCAGCCACTCGGCACCTGTGCTATATTCAAGGTTCCACCCACTGGATAGGCCTACCCACTGATGGAGGCGGGGCGTGGCTGAGACGGTCAGGCTGGAGCCGGTCCTGTTCACACTCTCGGTAGATATCTGATGGTCTGCGATTCGCCCGCTCTCCATTCCAAGTCGCTGGCGGCAACCTTTACCACGACCAGAATCATAATACAAAGGTGACTTCAGATTTCTAAATGAACAATTAGGCACGTACTGAGACTTGAACAGTTCTTTTTTTTCTTTTGTAACCAACAATCCGCTAATTAAATGCAAAATCACAAGGGGTTATAGTAAAACTGAAAATGTATCGTTGCGAGTAGCATATGCTTATCAGTGTTTTATTGATGCATATTATTTCAATCTTCTCCTTTTGTTCATCTCCTTTTTTCATTAGGGAGCATGAAAAATGATGGGTGTGCGAGATAGGTAGAAGGCTAATATAAAAAAATGCCTCATAAATCCCCATTTCTCGTGGTTGATTCATCTACAACACGATAGGCAATGTGTCAACTCAAATCAAAAGTGTTCACTTGTATGTGTATTTTGGGTCTAATTGAATCACCACACCAAATAGTGATATTAAAAGATAATTTTTTTTTTCTCCAAGGCACCCTACCATTTTGAATGTTACCTGATAGGGATAAACAGCCAACAAGTTCAACCTTCAAGCACGCTATTCCAACCCACTCCAGTATGGTTATGTAGATCGCGGTACACTCAACCGGGGAACTCAAGGTGTGTCGGTACAGATAAGACGCTTGGCTGTTACCACCGATTACCTTGGTTGGGGGGGGGGGAGGAAGAAGGCCATTATGCACCGCTGCCAATTTTTAATTTGATACGCATAATGTGTCGTGTCTTTGATACTATAATTTTACTGGACTAGACTGGCCACTTGCCATGTTTAAATTGTAATAAAACAAATAAAAAAATCATCTTTCTAACTGAAAATAACGTCTTGCACTGCACTTGCGTCACAAAGGCGTGGAGCAGCCCTTGATGATAAAGCACATCAAGGAGGAAAGCTCACTGCCTTGAAAACTATTGAAATGTAAGCCTAATTGGACCGAATCACCCAAGGACTTGCTACACGCTTATTTGCAGTTAGTTCCTCATGTTAACATGGGCTCGTAATAAACTAACGATACTGGGAACACAATAGGAGGACGCTATTTAGTTTGGGTAAACTCTTGTGTATTTGCCCGGCCCTAAGTGGCTAAAAACCGCCCCTCCTAGTAATTATTGTCATCTGTCATCATTATAGTTGTTAAAGCATCCCAGGGGAAACATCACGCCAACTTAGAGAGAAGACAATGAGAAGAAATTACAGTTTTAGAGGTGGGAGGAAAAGTCCAAAAGATATGCTGGGGAAAACCCACGGAATCCGGTAGGGACTGAAAACCCAATCCACATATTGAGCCAGGCGGGATTCGAACCCGGGTCACAGCGGTGGAAGGCGAGGAAAGTACCGCTACGCAAATTAAACTAACTCCCACCTTGCAACACCTTTCAATTGTAATTAAAAAGGTTAGGAATTAGTACCTCAGTCACGCTTATGTCATCTGGCACGGCCACAAGGTTTAAGTTTTTATTCACGTGGCTGACTCGAAATGACGTCACCCTCCCAGCCTCGCAGCCTTGCGTGACAATGGAGGTCACCACGTGAGGGCGCCCCAGACGAATGGTCATCGTGGACTCAACGTAGCCCAACGGGCGCGCCTTCCAGCCGCAGCTCTGCTCGAAGTAGAACGGGTCGAGGCGTGCCGCTCCTTCGGCACAGTTAGGGTTCAAGTATGTGGAGACCCCCAGTTGATTGTCTGCAATCTGACCATTGATCATACCCAGGCTGTTGTCGCAACCTGGTAAGCGTAAATGAAATAAACAATATACGGTGCATTTTCTGCCGCCCTGCGCAAGGACTCTTGGAATCTCTAAACTCGCTTAGCAATCATCAGATAGACTGCGATTTGTCCAGTTCATGACCCGGGGTCAGGACTTCCGGGTGCAAAGGACTTGGGCCCAATTTCTTGGCTCTGCTGACCGTCTTACAGCAAAAATTCCTTTCTTACCATAGCAGCATATTATTTACGGTAATCGTATTTTACGCGTTAGCGAGGAGTTGTGGCTTCTGCGCATGCGTATATCCCGTAACTAAGGGTTATTTGCTTACAGGGTGGGCACAAGCACACAAAACGGTTAGCACAAAACGGTGATCGTAAGCTCGGAATGCTGTTGTTATCAGAGCCATGAAATTGGGCCCTGGTCGCAGGAAATACACGCACGTGTTAATGGCAAGTTACTTACACACAATGCTTTGCTCTCCTTCCCAGGTGTTTGAGGAATGCACCTGCAGTCAGTACGGTGGTGGGGACGAGCGAACGTGCAAATACTAGCGCTTAAAACAAGTGGTCCACGTGAATTCGTAGAACCACCTGTGGATATTGTATAACTACCCTCTCAACTCGTACGATTGAACATTTCAATCTTTGAAGAGATTGATTGTCTTAATTTCCCGATCTAATAGACACAATTTAGATTGAAAACGATCGTTGATATCGCCTTTGGCAGAATCTACGTGTCAATCGTGAAAAGGATTGCAAGCTGTTTCACGCATGCGCATTGTGACAATGCCCTCCCGCATTTTTTCCAGTAGGTGGTTTACTCAAATATCATGCATAATTCAGTTTTCCTTTGAATCGTCGCAAGACACTTAAGCTTTAGTTCTCCTTTTTTCCCCTTAAAATAACATTATCTCAACGATACATTAAAAGAAGAAAAGTAGTCGATGTAAATGAGTAGCGACGATGTGGACTTGAACAAGGATCCTGCAAACAAGAAATAACGACTCGGCCAAACTCCTGGTTAGACGCGTGATAACGTACAGGTGTGAATACCACGAACACCTGTCAACAAAGACCCCTGCGCGCGGTTGCTTTCTGATTTCCAGGGCTCTGCCTTCGACCTGGTGTCGAATTCTGTCAAGCCATCTAATTATATTTTTGAATATTCATGATCCTACGTTTCTGGCGTTTATTACTGAATTTTGATAAGTGATAAATACATATCCATGTGAACGCCGAGCACAATTCTAATAGCTTTTACATTAACTATTAAATATCGCAATTGTTTTATCGGTTCGGGACCACACCTCTCTAAAACCTTTTAGCGAAAGCCTAATTAAAAACGAGATTTGGGTAAAGGGTGTTCTCGACGGAAAAGGTATCATATTTGACGTATATTCTCTGGGTAAATACTTCATCTATGACGACACATAATGCACAATACCATCTGTTATTTATTTTAGTATTTATTTTGTTAACAATTTTGTTAACAAAATAAATACTCTAGGATATAACAGACTATGTTCGTAGCACAAATAAAAAAAGCCGGTACTGCAATGTTGACCTTGGGCTTAAAAAAATGTTGTAACGTCATGAGAGTGGGAGTGAGGTGTTATTACACATTCATTTACAAATTCATCAAACGTTTTTAATATTTTCAGAAGTTCTTTTCACATGTTTTACCTCACGACGAACATGTATCCTCTCCTATATCAGCATTAAGTGTGCACATTTAATTGGTGACGTCATCAAACCGTAAATAACATGTGCGTGCACATAAAATGTAGGCCTATACTGATATTGAACATACCCTAACAGTTATTTTTTTTCCATATTAAAACAAATTATTCTACTCTAGACGCTAAATTTTGTGTGTTTTTTTTCTGTGCGGACATACAAAAAAAACAAAAACAAGTTATGCCCGATTACCCTGCATTTGTAACCCGACAAACGCGAATCTCAGTTTCTTTCATTTTCGTTTTGTTTCTTTTTTGTTTCTTTCGTGTCTTACTTCTGAAGGAGAAGATGGTGACTAACCAACATACATGACATTTGGTTGTTGGGGTGTTTGTTTGTTTGTTGGGTTGTTTGTTTGTTCGTTTATTTTTGTCCTCCAAAAGAGGCCACACAGCACACTCTGCTGTTCTAGAAGACAGCCATTAGATTAAGACTTACCGTTATCTCTGCAACCGATGACCTCAAGACGCAAAGCCACCTGGCCATGCCACTTGGTCGGATTGATTCGAAGGTAGCGAGTAAAGACAGCCTCATCAAAGAGTATTGTCTGAATGCAATTCGCCTCCCTGTTGGCTGGAAAAATCTGTCGAAACACGAGAAACGGGGCTTCAAGATCTCCTATTGAAAACAGTGTTTTCAAAAAATATATCGCAATTTCTTTTATGCATGCACTGCCTCAAGAGTTTGCTTCAAGCTGTAAAATAAAGTATGGACTTGTTAAGGTTTATTCTGCTCTTCCTATCTGAGAGAATTTTCTCGCTGTACAAAGATTGAAAGTGTTTTGTATTTTTTTCAGTGTAGTACGTGGCCCCTTACTGCTAAAGGAATTGTTTGATTATTTCATTCAAAAATAGATACCACACGTGTTTTTTTTAACACCATACAAATATACCACCAAGTGTTCTTTTTCTCACAACTACCAGATATTACTTACAGTTGGTATCTGTACTGTAAAACAATAATATTGAAAGTTTATGGTGTAAATTTAACATCGATGCATCAGATGGAGTTATCATACCATGTTCATTCTGTGCGCTGAATGTAATAGGAGGTTTAAGACGAGGAGGAATGAAACTCGTCGATCTTGAAGAACAACACAAACATCTGTTTTTCATGTAATCTACCTTTGGAGCAACCGGCCCGAACTCCGTCACCGTGTCTGTGTACACGCCCACTTTGTCCCAGACCCCGCCCACCGGATCGTGAGTGACAAGCACTGTGAATTCCTCCACCCAGTTACCATAGTAACTGCCGTTGCCACCGCCTCCTTGAACCATGAGACCTGTCACTTTCATTCTTTCCTAGAGAAAATCAAAATGTTAAAATAACTATCAGTGATTCAATCAATTGGAGCGATTCACGATAAGGTGCGCCCCAACATTTATTTCCCCAAAAAAGGTCCAGGCCTATTTCCAGCCCCACGGGGCGACATCGGTATACGCGACGCATTAGCACGCTTTCAAGATGGCGGACATCCAGGGATTCAGATCGATGCGAGTCGACGAACTGCAGAAATTTGAAAACTACCGCCGTAAATTAATGTAAACACCGATGCTCAAAATTTGGGGTTTGATGCATGATCGGTATGTGAAGGAGTCAATGGCGGCGACTTGCTCAGGAACTAGTTGCTTTTAATGCAAGGGAGTGCATGCGCTGTTTTGCGTATAATTAGGTATTTAAGGTATTGTTATTATTATTGCACAAAGCTCTCTCTCACAATGTTGGTGTCTAGTCCGAAAATTAGCATGAATGCAACATTGACAGGTGGGGGGGTATGGGGGTATCTGTAGATCAAAATTTTCCTGGTCGTATGGTCATGCAAATCGTTGTCTACAGTCGTTTGGCAAAACGCCAGCTTAAGTTACCCAACAACCTTGTCCAACATTGAGAGCGCAAGCCCAGCAATTCACAGCCCCACCAGGTAACTCCTAAAGTGTACAAGAACCCCAGGTCATGTGTGTACAAGAACCCCTAAGCTCCGCTTAGATAGTAACATGACGCCCCCCCCCCCATGAAATGTTCCAGCGCCCCCCCCCCCCCCCCCCCCCCCACTGAAAAATTCCCGGCTACGCCACTGACCAGCGGGCTCTTTCTTTATCGGGTCTTTGGCCATTCACCCGTTGCCCATCATAGACAGTGGATTTTAAAAAAAATTCTGTGTCACGCGCTCTGTATCATGTTACACAATAATGCGCCTGGCTGTTGTTGTTTTACAAAATACTGCAACATACGAATTGACCACTCAAACAGTTTAGTCCTTATATTGGAATGAAATGACGCCATGAATTAGTAAAGTCGACTCCGATTGGCTGGCGCGCGGCTTGCATATAATATGTCTAGACATATCAGTCGTTATACAGGAGAATTGTGATAACGGGTGATGCTCAGACTAAATGTTCAATGGCATTGATCCCAATTCATAAAATCTCCTTACCAGGAAATTGATTTGGAGATAGGGACGAGCCTCTGCCTCCGCCAAAGAGTTGAACTCTTCTGAGTCGGGCATCCAGGAGGAGGGCCCGTTCAGACGCCCCGCCCACGGGGCGTGGTCATCGCTCGCGTACGAGGAGGCGCTTAACTGCGCATCCTGTATGAGTCCGACTTCTACGCCAATCGGCAGTAAGCACTCTGGTGGAGTGTATTAAGATAAGAAACGAACAGAACCAAAGTAAACCATTAACACTATTTATTTGAATCAAATTACCGATTACCTTACAAATTACAAATTACATTACATATTTAATTTGACAGTTCGCATGGTGAATAGTACAACTTGGAACACGTGTACGGAAACATCGTAGGAAATGACTATCTGTACAGAACCTGAATTTATTATTATTTATTATTATTTATTCGACCAAAACAATACACAATTAACAAACACGGTATGAAGCACAAAAACTAAACAAAAATGTATGAAAGCTACGAAATACAAAATAAAACAAAATAAACACAAAAGACGACACTGTATAAGTGTAAGTGTAAGTGTAGGGGCCACAAAAACAACGCATAATATGAAATGAAATGAAAACATCCGAAGACAATATATAAAAAGACGATATGTGGGTCAGGGGTCACAAAAGTAAATTTAATTACTATTACCCACAGGTATGT